ATGAATCCTCGCGATACAAAAAAAAACCTTGTTATAAGTAGGAAGGAAACTAAATTTTCATTGAGTGGATATATAGTGTAACAAGTTGTGGTTTTTTTGGTTATGTAGTGAAGGGAATTAATAGGAGTTGAGGGGGAGTTTGTTCTTTTCTTGTAGTTGTTGGTTTAGTATGAGAAAGTGGAAAGCATGTGAGATAAAGCTAAAATTGTCTCTCTCTTTATTTTTATTTTTTTTCTTTTTGGCTCTCATATAAAGGGATAAAGGCAATATGGTGATATTTAGAAGTTGGACTAAGCTAGTTAGCTTTTCTAGAAAGAATTAACTAAGAATGATTCAAATAAATTTGGGCTATACTAAGTTTTTTTTTTTTATGAAAAAAAAATAATTATGTGGGCTTTATCTTTCACAGATTTGTATAAAGGGTAATTTTTATTTAGACTAGAAGTGTTACTTTTACTTGGTTACAAAATCAACATAATTTGAGGGGAGAAAAATAGTAAAGTGTCCCTTATGCTTGGAGGTAAGTTCAAAGTAGTCCTTTTTAAGTATATCTTGAGTAGTTTTAAGTTTGGCAAAAGTAAGCATTTTGTTCTTTTAAGTTTAATATTTTAAAATTTTGGGTGGTTAGATTTAATGGGAATTGTGAAAATAAATAGGGTTTGATCATATGAACTCACATTTGATTTTTTTTCTCTAGTTTCTAACTATTAGTCTATTTTTAGAGTCTGATATAGCTTTTTTGAGGTGTATTGTCTGATGTAGTCTCTTCATCGATGAAATGAGTTAAAAAATCACGACAAATTATAATACAAATTCGATCAAAAAACAAAAAATACTAATTGATTTCTTCGCATCAACTCAAGCTCTAGGTGTAACTTTGGCATAATATATGAACATGATTCTTAACTTGGCTTCCGTTGACAACTATGATCTTTAAATTTGAGTCTACATAAGTAGACACTTAAACTTATAGATACATTCATCCTACATGACATTGTGCATGACAATTTCGTAATCCTACATGACATCTTATGTGTTAATTATGTCACGTAGAACACGTAATTCTAGTTTTAAACAATACACATCCAAAATTAAAAATCATAAAAGCCAACTAAAATCAAATTAAAAGACATATTATGTCTATAATTTTTTGACACCTAAACTAAAGTAAGGCAAAGTATTGATCACATAAATAACTAAAAGTGAGTACAACAAACTAATCCAGATACCATTATTTTGAAAAAATAAAATACAAGTTTATATATGATTATAGAAAATAGAGTGATGAGTATGATATGAGTGAAATGAATGAGAAGTTTGGTAAAAAAGAGAAAAGGTGATAATGAGGACTGACTGTCGGTTTGAAAGAATTGGGAAGTGTGTGTGTGTGTGTTTTTTTGTGGTTGAAGCTTCAATAATCTTCTTTCTCTTTAACACTCAAAAAGAGTAAGGAATAAAGCTTTCTTTGGATCATTACTACCTAAAAAGTATTCTTTAAAAAGATGATGATTGGGATTTTATTCTACCATTTGTAAATATCAAATTTTGATTAGATCATCATTTTCTTTTGTTGTTAAAAGAAGATAATTATTTGGTTGATCGGATTTTTCAAAAATAGGTATAATATATTAATATGCGGTTTTTAAATTGGTTTTAGCGGATAATGACTATTCTTTTCAATTTTGAGTGTGCATAAATAGAAACTTAAACTTGTATAAAATTGAACAAGTAAGCACACGTGTCTTACATGGTATAATACACGTAGGATGACGTGTAGGCTACAAAATTGTCATGTAAGGTACTGTGTAGGACGAGTGTGTTCATTTGTGCAATTTTATACAAGTTTAAGGAGGTTTTAACCAAACTAAACCATTATATAAAGTCATTCACCAAAATAATATGTTTTTCTAAAATTTTACAAAACTAGTATAAACGTATTCCACAGTAACGTTTTAGGATATATTTTATTTTTTAAAACTTGATGGCGTCAGATCGATATACGTTACTCACAGTAACGTTTTAGGAGTAAAAATTATTGAAAATATCATTTTAAAAGTAAAACGTTACTTACAGTAACGTATATCAACCTAATGATATTAGTTTTTAAAAAATAAAATATACCCTAAAACGTTACCGTGAAATACGTTTATACTAGTTTTGTAAAATTTTAGAAAAATGTATTACTTTGGTAAATTATTTTATATAATGTCTTAGTTTGGTTAAAAATTCCAAGTTTAAGTACATACTTGGTGCACATCTAAAGTTAAAGACCATAGTTACCACACTACTGGAAAAATGTGAATTACATGAGGATTTTCCCTAGGAATTAGTATATGAAAATCCACATGTTACTTATTTTCTTGTAAATTTTCATACTAATCCACGTGTAATTCACTCTTTTCTAGTAATGTCAGCTAAAACCAAGTTAAAGGTCATGTATATGTATTATGTCAATAAATAATGTCATCATTTGTTGATATTTTTGAAAAGTTTAAGCAACATAGCATCTCAAATATAACTACTTTTCTTCTATAATAGTATATAATATATTTTTTCAATTTCTTTGTGTGTTTCTCTTATAAATATAACTATGGTATTTAGGTCAGTGTGCGGATATTTTGGCTGATATTTTGAGGTACTTGCTATATCACACCGACAAAAGTATCATATATTCATCAAAACATGAATAAATAGAAAACTATATACTCTCTCCGTCTTATGTTTTGGCTAGGATGTATTCGAAATCTTTAAACTTTAAGAGATTTTTGTAATCTAGAAAAAAAAATGAATATAATGTAATTAGCTTTTAATACTATGAAATTTATAAAAATATACTTCTTCATTTTTATCTCTCTTTTTTCCTTTTTTTTTTAACTTTTGTGTTTTGAGAATAAAGTTATAATAACGGCCCACATAAGATTTTTTGTTCTTAAAAGGAATCCATCTAATATTTTGATCATATGCATGTTTTGTGTACTAATCATATATTTTTAACCACTAATAATTCATGTATCATTGAAATCTATTATATGAGCTTATGTTTTTTTGTACTAATCATATAAAGAGAAATTTCATAATTAAATAAAATCGATTTGCTATATGTAACTCTTTATAAGTTTTTTCTTTTTTCTAAAAAAATAGAATGAAAAAGAATTTATATAGCTAAAAAATAAAATTTCATTAATAGTTCTTTTTTAAAAGAAAGAAACAACCAATATATATAACAAATTCATAATCAAATGATAGAACTATACAAAACAAAAACTAAGTGGGTGCTTCTAGCCCATTACACTGACGGGCCCAGTACATTTTGGGCTTGGTTAAGTGGAGGAAACTGAAAATGGGCCAACAACAATAAAAATAGGAGAAACCACGTAATTAGACATACTCCACTATCATATATACTAATATTACATATATTTTAAAAATATTACGTATTATATCACTAATTAAGAATTTTCTACCATATATTATGAAATATATATCTAGATACATGTGTTTTGCTAGTGGATACACTAAAATAGGGAGAGAGACAAGCCGGATGGGGAGGAAAGTGAGTGAGATAATCATGTAACTCATATACATGTAAATCACACTATATATGCAGTAGATATATGTATATGTATGTTTCTGACGGGATTCACATGTATCTGGAATACCAGATATATAGAAGAAGGGTGATCGAGAGAGGATAGAGATGAGGGAGATTTGTTATGTATCTCATATACATATAAATATATTTAGATATAATGTATCTATAACAAATTACACTTAATTTTGACCCCATATATCTCGAGATACATGTATGTGATGCACCAAAATATGTTAAGATTCATAATATTACAATTAGCGTGTATTTGAGTAATTAGCTCGTAGACTAGTGAATTTATATAAGTTTTATGTAACAATATACCTAGTGAAATTTTAAAAAAGTAGAATGTATGCAAATTAGCTCGAATTCAACAAAACAAAGTAGGTAAATAAATGTGGGGTTACAAATACCCAACTTTGGGTTGCCATTTAAGTTGTTGAAATTGTTTTTTTTTTGTAAATAGATTGATTTTGTAACCACTTCAGACATATAAGATTGAAAATATATTTCTTTTCTCCGAAAAGTATTAGAAATGGTTCAAATTTTTTCTCATTTCACCTGTTGGATCAAATTTGTCCTTCCTTCTGCTTATTGGATAAAGAATGACCTTAACCTATTTGAAATAGTTCAAATTTGCGCCTCCTTCTACCTATTAGATCAAATTTACCCCTGATTCCACCTATTAGGTCAAATATGTCTTTAATGTATGAGAAAATAATTCAAATTTTCCCTCATTCTACCTAAAACTATATTTACCAAAAGTTGTTAAAATAAGTATCATGAATACATGCAGGTCAAATCAAGTATAATTCATTTCAAATAAACCTTATCCAAGAATAATTTACATGTATATAAAATACACTCTGTTGCTTGCTTCTCTCCCTATAAATCTGTATTTTAAAATATATCTTCTATCAAAGATACATATGTCTAGTATCAAAAGATACTTGTTGATTCTCTCACTCAGCCTCTCCTCTCTCCTCTCTCGCCCACCTCTCTTCGTCTCTCGCTCCCCTCTCCCCTCTCTCGCGAACCTTTTTTTCTGTATCTAGTATTAAAAAAATACATGTATCTCAAGTATCTCTGATACATATTATTTCAAATTATAGAGTTAATTAATATTTATAATAGAAATATTTGCATACTTAGATAGTTTTTTCTTAAAAATACTCTAATAGTATAAATAAAAATCCTAGTCTTTTTTTTTATTTTAAAAAAAACATTTATAATTTGATGACCTCCGATAAATACTCCAATAAAATAAGAGAAAAATGAAATATTTATGTGAAAAGTAATATTTTTTCAAAGAAAGATAAAAAAAATAAAAGAATAAATCTAATTTCTCAATTACTCTATATCAAAAACAAATACATGAAGTAACTTGTGATATAACAATTAAAAGCAAAAGTAAAAATTGTTTAGTAAAGTTTTCAGTTTTTTTATTATTTCCAAGTTTACTCAAAAGGGTTTCCACATTTTTCAACAAGCCCCATCTTTGCTTGAGCTACTGCCCCTCTGCTTCTTTCGACAGGTAAAGTATAACCTTCATTTCTCTGAAAATTATCATAAATTTTCATTGTTTAGCTTCAAATTCTGATTTGAGATTGTTTGAATTCAATTTAAAAGAAGCTATTGGAAGTGATTTGCTTGTATTCGTGTTCTTTTTTTGTTTTTTTGCTTCAGTATCTTCAAATTGATTGTCTTATGTGTGGGTTGACTTTGAGGATTTACTGGTTGTATCAATCTCTATGATAGTTGTATATGTGTGAGAAATTTTAATACTAGAGCTATGTTGTGCTGATAAGCGATAACTAGAGAAAATATTGTAGATATACTAAAATAAGATTCAAAATGTGTACTCAGTGGAGAGATTAGATTAGCACTGAAGATATCCGTGATAAGTTGGGGGTGCTTTTATGGTGGATAGACGAGGGAACCGAGATTGAAATGGTTCAGCATAAGAGGAGATGGTGTAGGTGCCCTAGTGAGGAGGTGTGAGAGGTTGACTATGGTGGGTTTAAGGAGAGGTAGAGGTAGGAGGCCAAGGAAGTATTGAGAAGAGGTCATGAGACAGGACATATCATATTTTCAACTTATAACAAGAGGAGATGATGTAGGTGCCCTAGTGAGAAGGTGTGAGAGGCTGGCTATGGCGGGCTTAGGGAGAGGTAGATACATCAAGGAAGTATCAGGATTCGGGAAGAGGTTTAGACAAGACATGTCACATCTTCAGCTTACCGAGGATATGACATTATATAAGAGGTTGTGGATTGAGGAAGGTGCTTAGGTAATTGATAGTTGACTCGCTATCCTGTGGATAGGCCTGGTGGAAGTTTGGTGCAACATACTTATTTCTCCGTTCATACCAGTGGTAGGAGTAGTATTATTCTCATAGTTTCTTGTCCTACGATTTTTGATTTTCACATTATTTAGCTATTGTTAGTGTTCCTTGTTTTCCCTTTTATTTGCTATGTCCTCTTTACTTCTGTATGTTTCTATTTCAAACTGTTTTAACGTGCGTTACTTGAGTTGATGGTCTTTCCGAAACAATCATTACCTTTATGAGGTTAGGTAAGGTCTGGTAGACTCTATCCTTCCTAGATTCCACCTATGGAATACCCTGGGTATGATGTTCTTATTGTTATCGTAAGATTTGAGATGTATGAAATGACTGCCCAATGAATGTGTCAAAGACCCAATCTCTTTTTTTGTTCCACGATTTATGGTTCGCAGCATCTCGAAAGAGTAGTGGCTTTAATTTGTTAGTTAATATGAAACTTGTTCAGTTTTTTCATGAATGTAACCTCATCTGTTTGACATTGATTCTACTAGTATTAAAGGCATTTTATCATGAGAGGTTGATAGAGGATAATTGTGATTTGATAAAGCCTTGGTTGCTGCTAATTCTTAAGATGTTTACACTACTGTTGTACTTCTCTTCTATATTTCGATGGATGCCATTTCCTTTTGGTAGTCAGGGGTGTGTGACGAAGTTCAATTGTGGAAAATCATAGTATTTATATCTTACACTCAGACTATTGCATGTGTAGCATGATGATGCTAGATAAACGGACAAGATATCTGATTATTATGTCCACAGTTTGTATGACCGAAAAAAGGTGTTCGATGACTAAATGATATCTCTCGTCTAAACCATGTTGATAGCTAAAAAAGCTATAGGGTGCTGGAAAAATGTGCATAATCTGTTTTATTTACTTCTGATTGTTTAAGAGAGATTGTCAAGTTTTTATTCATTGATGAAGTCCTGTGATTGAATGATTAGTAGTACATACTGGAGCATGCACCTGAAATTTCTATTCTTACATTATCTTTCTGGCTTATCTTCTGAATTTTACAATCGCGATGATGTGGACTCTAATTTGTCTTCAATTTGCTTCCTCGGTCAGGCTAATTATAGCTCAGCTTGTGGTAGTATCTATTTGCAATGGCAGATGGCCAAGAAAATGACAAGAATATTGAAATATGGAAAATGAAAAAGTTAATCAAAGCCCTTGAATCTGCAAGAGGAAATGGTACCAGTATGATTTCTCTTATTATTCCTCCTGGTGATCAGATATCTAGGATTACCAAGATGTTGGCGGAAGAATATGGTACTGCATCAAATATTAAGAGCAGAGTGAATCGTCAGTCTGTCCTTGGTGCAATTACGTCTGCCCAGCAGAGGCTTAAACTGTATAATAAGGTACCTCCGAATGGTTTGGTCCTTTATACTGGAACTATAATGACTGAAGATGGGAAGGAAAAGAAGGTAACCTTTGACCTTACACCTTTTAAGCCCATTAATGCGTCTCTATACCTATGTGACAACAAGTTTCACACGGGACCTCTGGGTGAGCTTTTGGAATCAGATGAGAAGTTTGGTTTCATCGTCATGGATGGTAACGGTACTCTTTTTGGGACCTTAAGTGGCAACACTAGGGAAATCCTTCACAAATTTACTGTTGACCTTCCCAAGAAGCATGGAAGAGGAGGTCAATCAGCTCTGCGATTTGCTCGTCTTCGAATGGAGAAACGCCATAACTATGTGAGGAAGACAGCAGAGCTTGCTACTCAGTTCTTCATTAATCCAGCCACTAGTCAGCCAAATGTATCTGGACTAATACTTGCTGGGTCAGCTGATTTCAAGACGGAGCTGAGTCAGTCTGATATGTTTGATCCACGTCTTCAGGCAAAGATACTTAATGTGGTTGATGTGTCCTATGGTGGGGAAAATGGATTCAGTCAGGCCATCGAGCTATCTGCTGAGATTCTCTCGAATGTGAAGTTCATACAAGAGAAGCGCTTGATAGGAAAATTCTTTGAGGAGATCAGTCAAGATACTGGAAAGTATGTATTTGGTGTGGATGACACAATAAAAGCTCTGGAGATGGGAGCTGTTGAAACTCTTGTCGTTTGGGAAAATCTTGATATAAACCGTTATGTGCTGAAAAATAGTGTTACCAATGAGATTGTCATTAAGCACCTAAACAAGGACCAAGAGGCTGATCAAAGCAACTTCAAGGATTCTGAAAATTCAGCTGAATTGGAGGTCCAGGACAAAATGCCGCTATTGGAGTGGTTCGCCAATGAGTACAAAACCTTTGGTTGTTCACTTGAGTTTGTCACTAACAGGTCTCAAGAGGGGTCGCAGTTCTGCCGAGGATTTGGTGGCATTGGGGGCATCCTTCGTTACCAGCTTGACATGCGTTCGTTTGATGAGCCATCTGATGAAGGGGAATATTTTGAAGATTCTGATTAAGCTTATTTCCGTCTCCTTAGCCCATATGATGGATAAAGAGATGCAATTTGTTGAAAGTTTTGAGGTTATCTTAGCAATGAGTCTCGTGCTATCATCCTTAGTATCAATCACCGAGTCTTTGATGTTGTTAAAAATTGTTTGCTTTTCCTTTACATGTGAAACAGGTTTCATTTCGGGACTATCTTCAATTGGAAACAGGACTTCTTATTGTTTTGAGCCTATCTACCTTACACTTGTGAGTTTGCTACTGCTGTTATGAACTATGTCTTGCTTTTAATGGGATTTAAATTGCTAGTCTGAACCGCGACCCACCTCGCTATTTAATTTCCTCCTATAACAACTTGGTTACTTTGTTGATTCTATCTGTTGAAAACCTTGTTAGTGCAGCTTCATTTTTGAACTAATGCTTTGTTCAACTGATACTTGTACCTTGCTTGATTCTAGTGTAACGCCTGTTGCGCGAACACAGTAGATTTGGAAGCTACATATAAGGTGTAGGATCTCCTAATGGTGTGAGGTTCGTTACGAGTATCTTTAGGCTGATTTAGCCCAACACTTTTTTATATTTTTCTTGCATGGGTATGTGGAAGGATAAGTTTCCAGATTGATCATGATTGGCGGATTCAGGATTTAGAATCAGTCTATTCTGACAAATCCCATGTGTCTACTCTATGTTGTCCATTATTTGTGAATAGAAATCTGTTTGGCAAGCAGCACAAATAAAATAATTACGTTTATGTAAAATTGAGTTGGGTGGGGTCTTGACCCGTTATATAATCCACTACCTAACCCGTTTTGATCCAAGCAGATATTGGTTGGGTTGGATTTTGACCCAACATGTCCAATTGTCACCACCCCTTGTGTTTACTTTTATCAGGCTAATCATGTAGTTGTACATTGCATGTTCCTAATTCTTTCATAGGCAAAAGGATTTCAAGAAAACTTTGTTCACAAGAGTACTTTGTAAGAAGACAAGGTCAAAATTTGAAGTTTATGAGTTTGAGATTCTATATCAATAATTTGTATACATTCAATTGATTTATTTACGACATGTATATGATTTGGACCAAAACTACTGCGCTTAGCCAAACCGCCCTAGCTTCGCCATTTGACCCCACCTCTCCCCGTGCAAGAGGCAAAGTCAAGAATAAAGAGTTTGGAGGTTCTAAATTTTGTTAATGACTGTTAATCAACTTCGTTAGCGGTTCACAAATTAATATACATAAATGTTTAATTAATTTTCTAGTACAAATATAGGATCTACGGGAAAACTAATGGGTTCGTCCGAACCCATGAACCCCAACCTAGCTCCGCCTCTATATTCATCGCCAGAAACCTTTTTCTCTACTTTTTAAAATACAAGCAATACTTGATTTGATATGTTTTGCTTGAACTAAGGGTCTATCTTCACAATAAAGGGGTAAGTCGTGTACACATAACTTCCTTCTCATACCTCACTTGTAATGAGATTACACTGGATATGTCGTTATTCTTTTAAATGCAATACTTGAGTTTAACAAGTATGTTTCACTTGAACCGAGGGCCTGTCAGAAACCTCTATATCTTCACAAGGTAAGGAGTGAAGTTGCGTACACACTCACCTCTTTGGACTCCACTCGCGAAATTACATTGAGTTACTCTTTCAAAACGCAATATTGGCAGACTACAGTAGAAAGCAGGTGGTCGGTTTGCTCTTGTTTTTGAACAAATAGATGATGAGTGATTGTTATTTGTCAGTTTATAATAGTGACCTCATTTTCTGTATATATTTCACTATTCTCTTACATCCATGTGCTAAGATTGTATACAAACTATTCATCATCATAAAAGCAATGTTGTCATAATTCCATTTTTTCATCATGAAATGGTCAAATAACTTTTTATGTTTGTTTCCTTTACAATAACAACACTGTTCTGATGAATTCTTGCTTCTTGTTCTTTTTTGCTAATAATTTTTTTTACTGTTTATCCTTTTATAAAACATACGGGGTCAATATCGCGATCAGGTGAAATACCCGGTAGATTTGTAGGTAACACTTAATTCGTAAAAGTCATATAATAGGAGTTTACGAACTAAGTGCTTGTTTGACCATAGATAAGTTTTACCGTTTTTTGAATTTTATTTATGGAAAACTATTTGGACGTAGAATTGTGGTGGAGTAATAATTTTTGGAATACAACATGTTGTGGGATGTGTTTTGGGTTGCCCCTTATATTTTGATTTTATAAGTTTACATTTCATCCTCAAAAGTTGAGCTTAGTTATGATATTAGTCCCATAATTATTCACATTGAGTAAATTCAGCCTCCAATTTATATTAACTTATGCAAACATGGTTCCTCCAATGGGAAAGAGCAAGTAAGAATGAGAATAGTGAAAACTCTCACTAGTATTAGTAGATTCTACTCATTGATGTCCTTCGATAACATGATTTTAGATAAGAAGGTATGAAAATTATGAATTAATATTGAAAGGCAGTAGATAGTTGTGTGGTAGTTGCGAGATCTTTTTGTTACTAGCTTTATTCATGTATGTTGTTGCTTTTGTTATTTGTTATCTTCGATTGCTTATTGTGTTTTGGATATCACATTTTGCTACTTCATTTTTATTATTGTTCGTAGTATGTTAAGTATGTATTACTATCATGTTTTCTTCAATACTGTTATATTTCATCGATTTCTTATTATTTGTTCATTTTTAAATTGACACGCATATTAAGAAAATAATTATTGACATAGTAAGTTTATCATTTTAATCCTATTAATTATGTAGTGGACGAATCAAAATTTAAGATTTTTTTTAAAATTAATTAATTGAGAGCATAATATTAAAAATCGTCCTTTATTGATTTATCAAAATGGACAAGTAAAAAATAATAAAAAATTAGATAAGCAATTAAGAATAGAAAGAATAATAATTATTTTGATTGTTACACTTTAAATTAAAATATTTTGAAAATAATATCTCTATCTCTACGATATCGGGGCGATACGAATAGGAAATCTAAATTAGTAGGGCACAAAATACATGCAAGACAATTGATTGGTGATCCATATGTCTTTTCTTGGGAAAGAAACTTTTGACTATTAATTCATGTTTTGACAGGGTAGAGGAGCTAGAGATTTATATTTCAAACTAAAATGTAAAAGATATTTATAGAAATACATAAAAAAAAAATTGAAAAATAATAAATCACTTTAAATGACTTCAATCATTTTTTAAAGACCATTATTTTCAGTAGTTTAAAATTGAAAAAAATCGATAATTAATTCACGTTGTGAAAGGTTAAATTAAGCGTAAATAGATAACTTTCAATGATAAATCAGATTAGTAATTAATCTTGAAAATAAAATAGATTACGTGTTATGACATGATAACTTCATAGTCTATGCTTTCATAATGCTTAATTTACGTGCACCTTAGTTGATTTTACAAAATACTTACTTTTTTTTTATCAACAAAAATACAACACAACTATATTTATCAAAACTTAAATACATAAAAGAAATTATTCATAAAATTTATCCATACAAAAAAGCAAATTTAAAATCTTATAAATATCAATCCACGTCGTTGATCACTAAGATAGGTCACACCCATGGATCATGTTACTTGTACACAAATTTCATTATCTCCCTTTGAATCTCATGCAAGATTCATGCCTAACTCTTAATTGAAGTCAAAGAATATGGTCCAAAAATAAATAAATAAATAGTGGGCACATAGTTGAAAGACATGGCATTATATTGTTTGAGCAACTATGGTCCAAATTAATATTAACACCTATAAATTATAATCCTTGTTATCCAGGCTGTATGAATATATATATATATACATATAGAAAACTACTTTTAACTAATGTTTATAGAGACATTATTCTTATTCACACCACATGATCTTCTAACTACCCTTTCTTAAATCATAAAGATGTTTTTGACACAAATTCCTATCAATGAACACATGCTTCTTTCTATATGTGATAATATTTTTTTTCCGTTTCAAATTATTTATCTCTTTTTTTTATATGCTACTTAAGAATAATAATTATAAAGAACTTTTATTAATATTATTTTAATCTAGTTTGTATATAAATTATAATTTCTCTTCGTTAAATATTTACTCAATTTATGTGTCATTTTCATTAATGAGTATGCAATTGCTAAAGTCACCTTGCCAAGAAATGTAGAAACCTGAATAGACATTTAATTTGACTTTAGTTGATATGTGTACACTTTAATTTTAAGTGTGCACAAATAAATATTTAGATTTGTATAAAATTGAACAAATAGTGATATGATACAATTAGAACACAAAATTATCATGTAGGATGTCAAGTAAGATGCATATTTAACTATCTACTTGTGTATACAATTAGAAGACATCATTATCAGTTGAGATCAAATTAAAGTATATATTTATGGGATAATTGTATAAAATGACAAACTAATAATATAAAATATATATAGTACCTATCCTTTGATTTATTTGTGTTCCATGGCAAATTGTTTGTCAGTCGCTCTCTCCGTCACATTCTCGCTCGCCACTCTCCCTCTGTCGCTCGCCTCTCTCGCTTTATACAATAGAATTGTGTAAGTTGTGTTTCTAACTGTATAAAGCGAGAGAAAATTGTATAAACACATGCAAATACATATATCTTCGTCCTATGCACTTATAATTATACAATACAAATATTTCCCTGCCCAAGTCTCTTTCGCCTTTCTCGTTTTATACAAATTCAAATTGTATATAATTTCTCTCTTTCTCATTTTATACAATTCGATTCAATTGTATATTCCATGCACAAGTCTCTTTTTACCTTTTTCTCTTTCTCATTTTATACAAATTCAAATTGTATATAATTTCTCAATTTCTCATTTTATACAATTCAATTTTGCCTTTCTCGCTTTCTTGTTTTATACAATTCAAATTGTATATAATTTCTCTCTTTCTCGTTTCATACAATTCGCTTCAATTGTATGTGTATAGCAAATTATATATATAAGTTTGCTATGGAGCGCAATTATGCAAATTTTACTATAACATACAAATATAAATTTTATATTTATATATGAAAGTTGCCCTATATTTATTCATTATGCCGATAAATTAAATTAACAACTTCAAGAAGTAAATAGCGCCTCATATCAAAGACTTTGCTATTTTCAAGAAAAATTATACCAAAAGTAAAATAAAGAAAAAATAATTAATTTTATCTTAAACTTCAAAATCGATAAAATAATTTTATTATTTCAGATAATTTTAAATAGAGGGAGTATCTACATTGTCTATCTATTATGCTTCATTTAATGTTGCCAAGCATCGTCTTAAAACCCATGAAAAAGGCAGAATGATAGTGTTTGTTGGTATGTCAAACTCAAAGGAAGGTACTTTTAATCATGGTAAGGTACAATGATACTATATCAAAAATATTTTTTAACGATAATTAATTAATAATGTAATTTAATTATCTATAAATATTTTTTAAGTCTATAATAATATTCGATTCATTGACAATTAATGAATAATGATAAATATTTAACACTTTTTATTAATATTTATAAACGCTCTATTATGCAAGGGCATCACTCTAATGAAATTGTTAAGAGGCATTATTTTTGGTTTTGTTGCACCACTCTTCTCTTTGAAATGGAGAGCCACTTGGAGTAAGGAGATTAATGATAATGTTACATATTATATGTTGATTAGATCAATTATGTTACCTCGTATGAAGTAAAATATTTGTCGGTCAGTCAAGAACTTGCATTTTCAAAGAATTGAGGATAACGATAATAAGAACATTAAAGAGAGATATAATCAGGATTCAGGAACGAAGTTATTCAAGACAACATGTGAGTGACCTTCATAATAAAGAAGATACGGAAAATGAGACTGAGATGGTTCAAACATATAAAGAAAGATATAATCAGGATTCAGGAACGAAGTTATTCAAGACAACATGTGAGTAACCTTCATAGTAAAGAAGATACGGAAAACGAGACTGAGATGGTTTAAACATATAAAGACAAATACAGATATATTCTACTAAATCCGTCTATTTTTATTTGTAGCTTTTCAAAAGTTAATTTTGATTAATTTTCAAAGTTAAATTATATTACATTAATTCGATATTTTAAACAAAAAATTTAGATATTCAAAAGCTATACTATAAACTGCAATTTTGCATATCAATATGATAAAAAAAACAAATTTTAAAATATTAATCAAACTTTTTTATAGTTTAACTCTAAAAATAGTAACCTTTATAAATAATAGCAAACGGAGAGAGTAATAAAATGGTACAAGGAGAGATAGAAGTAGGACACAAAAAGTCTCGGGGACAGAGACACGACACAAGTGTAATTCGCTATAAGTCAAGATAGAAAGATAAGAAGATCGAAGAATAGAGCAAAATATTAACAGGTAGTCGAATATTGTCTAGTTCCGATATAACATCGTTATTATCACCCTCCTACCATAATCCAATGTCACTACTACTTTTTACCATAATAATATACATAAATATTACAAATTTTTTTTCCTAGTTATCACTATTCCCCCTTCTCCTCAATTGAAGAAAAAGAAGAAGCAGCAGAAGAATAACAAGTAATTGAATCACAATTAGAAGGTGTAAATCCAATAAGTAAATCAACAAAAGCACCAATAATAAAACCATGATTATTTTTTCCATTCATCTTCAAATACCATTGTAATAATTCTTGTAAAGATTCCCAATCTTTAATCTCATGTGTGTCCACCATTTCTTCCATTGATTTCTTAAAATCCAAATATGGATCCTCTGATTCCAATGCCAATGCCACACTTTCCTTAAATGGCAATTCTTCATCAACATCTTCTTCAATTTCTTTTAGTTTCTCCTGACTCTGACTTTGACTCTGATCCTGATCCCGACTCTGACTCTGACTCTGATTCTGATTCTGATTCTGATCCTGACTCTGATCCTGGTGTTCTAAGATTGATGAGCTAGTACAATTTGGCTCAAAGAACAGTCTTTCGGAGCGAACCCCTTTAATGATTAACTCCATTAATGGTTCCCCTGTTTCTTCAGACTCTGTGGAAAAACTTGCTGATTCTGAAGAATTTGTGAACCAAGATTCTGGTGTGGTTTCAATTTCAACAACCCCATGATGATGATGATCAGTGTTTGAAGGGTCTAAAAAGATGGAATTTATAGTCTTGAAAATGTGGTTTGCTCTAAAAGATTGAGTCTTGGAATGAGTACAAGAAGGCCATTGCCATGAACCAAGATTCATTTTCTTGCCCATAAAAAAAATGGTTCTTTTTTTAAAAAAAGAAATCCAACTTTTTGGGATACAAAAAAGTTGTGATTTTTTTGTTTTCAAGAAATCCAACTTTTTGGGGTTGTTTGTATTGGTATTTTGGGATATACCAAAAAAAAAAAAAAGTTGTAATTTTTTTTTTCAAGAATTCCAACTTTTTGGGGTTGTTTGTAATGGTATTTGGGATATACAAAAAAAAAAGTTGTAATTTTTTTTTTCAAGAATTCCAAGTTTTTGGGGTTGTTTCTAATGGTTTTTAAGGTACAAAAAAGTTGTGTGTGTTTTTTTTTTCCTTCAAAATTCCAACTTTTTGAGGTAGTTTCTAATGGTTATTGGGATACAAAGAATTTTTTTGGGGATAGTTTGTATATCCTAGTGAATTTTTTGGGATTTCAAAAAGTTTGTGATTTTTTTTTTTTGGTTGGTATTAATGGTGATAATAAAAAGGAATAGGGAGAGATATAAAGAGAGAGAGGTGAGAGGAAGGTGGAGAGGAAATGGGAGGGTGGTGGTTAGGTCTATTTCATGTGTGTTATTTAATTGTAAGTAATGTTTTTTTTAAAAAAATAAAATAAAATAAGAATTTAATGGTTTTAATAAATGCACTATCACGAAAATATGAAGATAGCAATAGTGCAATTGATTGGAATTGAAAGTTATATAACAAAAAAAAATTCATAGTAATATTTTTTCGGTTTCTAAATAAGTGATGTTCTTAGCTTGGATATACTCTCTAAGAAATTACTTATCAGTAAAATCTCAAAAAAATATTTCAGAAGAGAAAAGTGAATAGATCGAAAGTAGGATAAAATATATGTATATCGTAATTTTTGAGACTTTACTTATTAAATTAAGTGGATATATTATTATTATTATTATAACTTTTGAAGAGGTGTGCATAAGAGAAATGTTACAATTATTTTTTAATTATCAAGTATGCTTAGCCAAAAAAATGCAACCTCATAATAATTTAATGTCTTAATCTTATCATTGATAAGTTCTTATAATAATGTTAGCTACAGAATTTCATGATAAGATATGTTCCTTCAAGCTAAATCATATATGTAATAAATAATAATAAAAATAGATTTCTAATATTTTTTTTTCTTATTTTTGGTCCTTTGTGCTTTCTAAGAACCAACATTATTTGCATAATTCATTTGTTGTTATTAAACATTTAGGGTCATCTTACTTTTTGTCATGCATAATATAGATTTGTTTCTATATACAATTTTTTTTACACTAAAAAAGCTATCAATTTTATTTATCTTTTAAAATTTAAGAAAATTTACCATCGCTATTATTTTAATGTGCGTTGTATGATCACTCTCATATTCATATATATATATATAATATTCAAACTTCAATTAATAACTAAATATTTTAATTTTGAAGTATACACATTCAAACATGACATTTTATAAAATGATCGTTATGACCTTCAAAATTTATATGATATAATAATATTGTATATTCACGAAATATGATAAGAATGAATTTAAATATTTAAATTAATATATATTTTCAAAATTAAAATATTTACTTATCGGCTAACATTATGATATAATTTTTAATACATCAAACATTATTAAAGAAATCAGAAATTCAGAGAAAAGGACATCAAAATGTTGATATTCAAAATTATATAGTAAAGTTATAATAGTATAATTTGCTTCTATTTTTTACCTTTCCATTTATTTGCAATGAATTTATTATTATTATTATCATTTATAAGGCTCCTCATATACTCACTGTTTTTTCTTACTTTTATTTCTCTGCAACCGCTAATAATTTATGTTTTAGTTTTTTCTCTTTTTAATTTTAAAATATAATATAAAGTAGTGTACAACCATGAAATAACACTACGATACTTCAAATACTGAAGTGACACTTCAAAGTTTAAATTTCCGTAAATTTTAGATATAGAAGCTTTAAGAAAATTTTAAAAATTATTAAAGAATATAAAAATATTATAAAATGTTATAATCAACAATTTAGAATAATTAAAAGGTATATAAAGTAATTTTAATCAATAAAAAAAGTTGATTGACTTTTAACATTCCAAATGTCTTGTGTTAATCAGCACTGAGGAAATAATAATATTAATTTTGAAAAATTATATCATTAGTAAATTATTTTTATTTCTAATTATATTCTACATTAACGGGTAAAACTCTCCCTAATAAAAGCAAGTATGTACCCCGGAGGATTTAAACTATACTCCACATTGTTTGTTCTACTATTTTTTCAATTCATTTCAAAAAAAATATACCTTTTATTTACAATTTTTTAATTTCTATTTTTTCATGATATATATAAAATGATGAATTAAATAATATTTTTATTCTAAATGTCTTTAGTAAAGACACTTGAATATTTTTTTTTTAAAAAAGGCAAACAATTATCATCTTCCTATTTATTCTAAAAAAAATTAAAAATTATTTTTTTAAATTTCGTGTTAAATTAAAATTGGAAAAATAATTATCACCTTCCTCTTTACTGTGTACTATCATTAGAAAAGACACTTGAGTATATATACTGTAGCAAATAAAGAGAAACATCTTTCAACAAATAATTACACACACAAAAACTCACACATTAAATATTTTCATTTTTCTGTTAAAAACTTGGCTTAATACATAGTCAATAATTTGTGAGTAAATTTTAAGTAGACATAATTTGAATTACAATTAATTTTTCGAGCATCTAAGCACATAATAAAGTGTTTCTATTAAATATACTTTTAATTTCAATTTTAAAAATAAATTGTGTATATTCACAAGTATTGTATATTATGTAAATAAGCTAAGGATTTAAAATATGTTATTTTAATTTTAATTATATATATGCATTAGTTCAATAAGCAACAAAGCATTAGACTTATTTCAATTGAATTTGATGCGTATAACCAAAAAAGACATATTTATCATGGTTATCTTAACTTCTTAACGGACTCTTTAGAAGACATAATTTTTTAAATCAAAATTTGAATTTAAGATTTCTAAGAGAAATACTTAATTATGTTCTTAATTAAAACAGGTGACATATCATTTCGAGTGTTTAAATAAAATTTATCGAGAAACTTAAAAAATTTGTCTATCTATTTAACCAAAAAATATTTGAAGTGTAGCTTAATGAAAGACAAGAAGGGGTCATCATTATGAGCTATATATCATGCATGCATGCATGCAATATAATTATGATTAAAAACTCTGATAAAAGGTTGTCATAACTCATATATATAATTGAAGAAATTGGACCATAGCCTAATAATAGTGAATCAACAATTTTTTTGCTTCAGAAAACATAGAGGACATTTCTTTTAACTAGTGGACAAAACACATGTGTTCTATCTCCATCTATATATAATTACTCAAGAGGAAGAATTTTTAATGTTTCAAAATTACTCTTTTAAAAAATATTTTTGTAATTTTTTTTCTCAAATAAGTGAGATTTGATATAGATAAAATGTTTATAGTGTTACTAATATTTATCAAATAAAAATGCCCCCTATCTTAACTGGATCACGACTCATAGAATCTATTCCTACTTGGAGGTTGAGCTAGACCACCACAGCTGGGTGAGCCTTCGCTTTTTGGATCGTCTTCTGCCCTGTTCATATCGATCTATTCCCCACCCAGGAGCTACTTTACCATATTCCGAATTCAATGGTTTTAATAAATCTCCTACTGCAGTTCGTCTTGGACCAGATCTAGAACTGTTCTCAACAGTTTGTGTAGCCATAAATCCTGTCCACGGGATTTTACTCTGGGGAAGCTCATTCCTTGGACAAGTCGAAGGCAATAAAATATGAAAAAGAAATATATTTTTCATGATAGGCCCGAATGGCCCCTTCTCATTATGAGAATGTATATAACCCTATTCCGGCCTGGTCCGGTATGGAATGAACTTATAATCATGGAATCACCTTCCCCCACCTTTTTTTTTATTAGATCAGTACTCACTCTCCTTTTCTTCTGTATGAATCGATATTATTCCATTCCAAATCCTTCCCGATAAGACGGGAAATTTATCTTTTTTCTGACTTTTAAATATGTAAGACCTTGTCCTCTTTCTTTTCGATATCAAGATAATTGACGAAGATAATGCTTTGAACATTTTCGCTATGAAATCGAAAGATAAATATAATAAACCTTCTATGTGGATACCCCCTTTTACTCTCAATAATGCTTAAGGTTCTATACATTCTTTATTCAATTCATTTATATCCTTTTATTTTTAGTTTTTAGGTTTCCTTTCCTCTCCAAGCCAATCGATCGCCTTCTAGCTAGCATTTGTTTTAGACTGATTAAAATGAAAAGTATGTCGATCATATAATTAATTGAAATTAAAAGTAATTTTTAATTCAACAATAGCATATCGAATATAATATCACAAATAAAATTAGTAAAAGGCAAATGAAAAATAATTCCATAAGATATAACACATAATTAATACACATGCCACATCCTCTTGTTATCATGATAAATTTTTTTGAACGTACAAGTTTAAGAATTATATATATATTCATAAAAAACTATCTAAGTACAAAGTTCCAACAATATTAGGCTATTTTATTAATCTAGTCTCAATTATTTTTAAATTATCAAGAAATTTCTTCTGATACTTCCCTCGTGTGATTAATTAGAAAATTTTGTTTAGGAATATTGAGATTCTTATCTTCATAATCTTAATTAATTTTATTTTTTAAAAAAATATTTTCTCAAGTGGCAAAAAAAAAGTATGTATATGAATTGTTTTGTCCCCTCTCTACCACTCCTCATGACTAGTAGGTGAGGTACATAATGATATATTGACCTTAATTCTATGATTAGAGTTCAATTATATTTACCTTTAATTTGCTCTAATTGTTCTCATAATTACTTTCAATTAATTAAAATGATAAATTTTGATTATGGTCTTTGTAGAATTGAATAAGTATATTTAGCCTTCAATTAATTGAGATGCGGTGTGTACTTTTGATCCATTTAATTTATTCGTAAATAATCACAAATTTTATGAATTATTATAAATCCTTAGTGCTGTGCTTGCCCCGACCGATACCACCATTCATTACCGTGAACCAGCCCCTCTTCAATATAGGCAGGTCTTTCTTTAGAACAGATTCATTCCAGAACAGAAAACCAAATTGAGAATCAGAATCGCGCTTGAAGCCTATCACTAGAACGAACAGCACACCAGCGACCAGACTTGCTACGCTAGTAGGGCTTCTATCACATATTGCATAGACATTTACTATGTAAAATTTGTATTATTACTTTATATTAAAGGTAATAAACTTTTAAAAATAGTTCAAATATATCATATTTTCTAGCTATAGACACCATCATAAAGAACATATTTTAATTATTACTAGAAGGTTAATTACATTAGCCATATAAGATCAAAGAAACAGTTCAGTGCACTAAGTATTCTGTACTGACACACGTTAAGGGGTGTGACGTAGGCCATCTATCTTGATGCAAGCATCGACTGTTTTCATGGCTTGAATATGTGATCCCATAAATCACACAGAGATAACTTTACTGTTACTTCAAAACTTCCCTTTAATAATATCACAATTCACAGGGACCAAAATAAGAATTTACTAATACCTGGGGATTAAAAGTGTCATTATCC